GCCAGCACAGGCTGCCTGCTGGCAGGGGAGCAAGGGGGGGCTGGGCTTGAGCTTCAAAAGAGCCACATCTGGCTTCCCCACAAGCCACAGGTCACCCATCCCTGTGTAAGGAGGTTTGTGGTTGGGCCTCCTCTGTATTGGGAGGGCACAGAAACAGGTGCACATTTGGGAGAAAGTAACTGCTCCCCACACTAGCCTGGCCTTTATCTTCTCTCTTTGGGAGCAGCCAAGGCTCCTGCCTGTCGAGTGACTCCTTCCCAGAGTCCAGCTGGAACCAGACCAACTTTCAGAGGAGCCAGGAGAAGCATTCCCAGCTGAAGACAGCAGGGTCCCCACAGGCACAGAAAAAGCAAAGCCCTTCCCACTGCGATGGTCTTTGGATCTTAGAAAAGAGAAAACTAAGTGGGGATAAAATAGAGGTCTGTAAATCATTACTGGTGTGGACAAAGCAAAGAAGGAAAAGGTATTTACTTGTTCCCATAACACAGGAACTAGTGTCACCAAATGAAATTAACGGGTGGCAGGTTTTAAACAAACGAAAATATGTTTTTCTTCATGCTGCAGACAGTCAACCTATGAAACTCCTTGCCAGAGGATGTTGTGAAGGACTATAACACAGTTAAAAAAAAGAGCTAGATACATTCATGGATGATGTGTCCATCAATGGCTGTTAGCCAGGTTGGGTAGGAATGGTGTTCCTAGCCTCTGTTTGGCTGGAGGTGAGTGAGAAGGGAGGGGGTCACATGGGCTGTGTCTACACTGGGCCACTTATTACAGAAAATCAGTCAATTTTCCAGAATAAGCTGCGAGCTGTCTACTCTGGCCCTTGAATGTCCGGAAAAGCAACGATGCTCTACTGTACAAAATCAGCCGCTATTCCGGAAAAACTATTCTGCTCCCGCTCGGGCATAAGTCCTTATTCCGGAACACTGTTCCGGAAAAGGGCCAGTGTAGACAGCCCAGTAGTCTTTTCCGGAAAAAAGCCCCAATCGCGAAAATGGCAATCGGGGCTCTTTTCCGGAAAAGCGCGTCTACATTGGCCACAGACGCTTTTCCAGAAAAAGGGCTTTCCTTTCCCGGAAAAATTGAAAACGGAATAGTATTCCGTTGTAAGCAGTTCCAGAAATTCATGCCAGTGTAAACACAGCCATGAGGATTACCTGTTGTGATCCCTCCCGCTGGGGCATCTGGCATTGGCCACTGTCGACAGACAGGATACTGAGCTAAATGGACCTGTGGTCTGACCCAGTATGGCTGGTC